GGCTGGGGAATTCTGGGAGTTGAAGTCCACACGTCTTCAAGTTGCCAAGGTTGAGAAATACCTATCAGATTCTGAGCACCTTGGAGGAAGCACAAGACAAACATTTGAAAGGCAGAATTTCTCTGTCTTATTAACAGCTGAAAGCACTTAATATGCATTCAGGAGAAAACCAAATAACTTGGGCTAGCAGAAAGGTTGCCAGAGAAAAGCAAGAAGATTTGAATAAAAGAAGAGTTTGGAAAACAGATGGGGGAGGAGATATGTGAATTACATCTTCATTAGCTTGTTGTATATTTATAAAACATCATTCTAACCTTATCTTGCTTAATTTATCTGAGCTCTCTCAGTCTCTTCCAACAAAAAGCAGCGAACTGTTAGAATATTTTTAAATCTCCCCCCATAGAAAGCAGCCCTTTGATATTGTGACTCTATTGTATCTTGATACAAAGATTTCAAAATAGAAATGGGATCAAGAAGACAATATGAGAAAAAACCAATGTAAGTAAATAGGCTTGAGACATCTGCTGCCTCAAGAGACTACATTGCACCAACTAAGGAGTCAGTAGGTTCTTTTTGTGACGTTGCAACTGAAATTCATGAGCCACGGGCATCTTTCCCACTCAGTCTGCACACTGCTTCTCAGGGCACTTCTAGGAAGGGACACCAGTTGTTATCCATTAGAATTGTACAGACGGATAATTATTCCTTACCTAGCCCATTTTTAGCCACTGACATGGTGAAATTAGCCTCCTCTCCGGGTGGTTGACAGAATAAGATGGGACAGTGTCTCACTGTGCAGTGTTTCTGAGAAGGCAGGAAAAAAAAGATTGCCTTTTTAGAAATCCCGGCTTTACTTTCCTGAAAAGAGGAGAAAAATTAGCTTCTTAGGAAACTGCAGGAGCATGGCCTCACCTGGATGTAGTTACACATGTGCATGGATAACAGGTTAGATTCAGAGTTCACTAAGAGGCAGGAACCCATGTTGGCTGTGGTGTTATGTAGGTCAAACATGAAGTCATAGGCTTGAGATGAACCCTTGGGTCCAAAGATCTGGTTGATCTCCTGAGCACGTTGAATCTCATAAAGGTCTGAATCTGAAGCCTTGGTGCTGAGAAAGAGACACTCAATGCAACGGTAATCTGGTACATCTGTTAGGGGGCAGATGCCCCTTCTAATCTGGTACTATGCAGATATATTGGGCTACAATTTCTACTGTTCTAGCCAGCATGAATAACATCACTTTGGAGTTGGTTGGAGATGCAGATACACTAGTAATTCTGGAAGACTCCAGAATGAGGAAGGTGAGTTTAAATTCTTATGGCAACAAACCTTGAGTGAAGGCTTAGGCACCTAAGAATCTTCAGATCTGATGCAGAGAAATGTGAACTTCAGTGTATGTCCCTCTGCCCAATAGCTCCTGAGAAGGATAGTCCTTGTTTTCCCTACAAAGCTTCTAAAGAATGGAGCAGAGTGTAATACTCACTTTAGAAAAGCTGGAGCAAATGTACGATTAAGATCCCTCCCAATGTAGCGCACACACTGCTCAACTGCACGTGGGTTGCCCACAAAAGGTGTGACCTGGAAGGTGCTGCGCTGCAACTCGGATGGATCCTGTAGCCAGTGCTTGACTAGGTAAACACCTGACATTTCATTCCCATGAGTGCCCCCGCATACTGCTACACGTCTCAAGGAGGGAAGGTATTGTGGGTGTGACATGACTGGGGGTTTCAGGCCCTGTTGTGAGAAAGAAAACCACATGGGATTATCAGCAACCCATTTAGCAATACTGGAGTGTCCTCATCTGCAGCTCACTGAGCCAAGCCCCTAATCTTACCTTTAAGTCTTCCTCAGTACCCAGTTCTGCAGTGTTTTAATGCAAGAGTGGAGACTCCATGAACCACTAGATCTTCAGCATTCAGTACAATTCACAATGATGTCACATGTGTCACGATGTCATTGTGTAAATGATACATATGACATAATTCACATCATTTGCACATTGATATTATAATTGCCCCATGATGTCACACACACATACCCAGAAACCCATGCTCCAAATATAGCTGGTCTCTGTCACCCACTGACCTGATGGGAGTGGTACAGCAATTCCACACAAGGATTCTGAGCGAGTGTGAAAGCACCTTTAGACCTCTGTGTGCCCGCGATGGCCCCCTGCCCATGTGAAAAGGCTACCCTTATCCACATTGCACTACGGCATCTCATAGGCCTTCAGAAACTGAGCCTGTTAACTTCTAGCTCAGCTCCTGCTTTTGAGAAACTCCTCCAAAGGGAGTTTTGTAAGGCTTTCTCTGGAACTGCAAGGTGGCTGGTTTGCCAGTGGTGTGGAAAACCACTTTGAGGTGTGGTCCTCAAAGTTCTTGTTTCCCTCCTGAAACTATGGAGCTATTGCCCAATCCTTTCCAGGTGCTCTGAAGCCAGCAGTGAGGACCTTCATATAGTAGTGTAAAATGCTGCATAGTTTATGAGGAATAAAGCCCCACATTGGAGAGTTAAGCTGATGTATTTCTGACTCAACTGTGGTGTAACTGAAATTGCAGCAGAACTACTCCTTCTGTCATTCCATACCATGGCTCCGTTTTCCCATTAGGAGGAAATCTTCTTCCTAGCTCCTGAGCTTCCTGGCTTTGAAGCTCCTCCTCAGTAGCCCAGACAAAACCCAAATGGCTGAAACTAACAATGCTTTATTTGTTTCTCCCGGTTCTGTAACACCGGAGGAATCAGAATGCCAAGTATTAGGCTATCTCTTTGCTTGTTTGTTTTCCTTCCTTTCTTTCTCTTTTGCATGGCATGGAGGTAAAGAGATTTTTGTAGCTACAGAACCAGTAGCAGCTTGGGGATAGGCAGTGATTTTCATTCTTTTTTCTGAA